CCCCCCCCCCCCACCCACCCGCATCTCATCGCTACTTTTTTTTCTTCTTTTTTTTTCTTAAGAACTCGGGGTGTGGAGACGCGGCCGGCATCATCGCCGGAGACGTGAGGCAATTCGGCCGCCGGGTGCCGTACGCCGAGATGGTTGCGCGCATCGACGCCATCACCACCAAGGAGATCAAGGCGGTGAGTCTACTGGTGCCACGCTGCTGTGTTGTTGTTTCCGCGGGACGCGGTTGGCCAACTCAGGAGAGGAAGGCCACACAGAGCAGGGTTAGGAAGTTTGTGTATGAGCGACCCTGAGCTGGCTTGAGAGCGGGCAATGACGTGCCCAGGAGCGTCAGTCACAGCAGCAGTTGGTCGCCCCGAAAACGTGCTCTAGCTACTCCCGTCCAGTGCAAGAAGTGTTGTTGCTTCCGCTTGACATCCTCCCCCCCACGCCCATCTTCTTGATTTTTTTTCGGTTTCATGTTTGTTTCTGGTGTACGTCAGTCCGCAGACGAGATCATCAACGACCAGGACCACGCGCTAGCGGCGGTGGGCCCCATCCACGAGCTCCCGGACTACAACTGGATCCGCCGTCGGTCTTACTGGCTCAGGCAAGCACCCCCCTCCTCTTCCCCACCCATTCCCAAACCAAGCAAGCATGCCTATCTATGCCTGCCCCTTTTCTCGAAACCTCTCGCTAAAGAACTTTTGGCTTGGTGCCTACCCCGATTAGCTGCCGTTTGGTTTTCGGTGGTTTCGCTCACTGACCCACGCATGTGCATTGTATTCTTGAGGTGGGTCGCGATAAGGCTATGCCAAGGGGCGCTGTATAATCATGTCGTTCGCTCCGTTTGTTTTTCTACGATTGAGGTATAGGTCGGGTTTTCCCTTCGCAGGTCCGTGCGCCGCTGTGCGTGTGCCTGTGCGCGCGCGTGTTTGTTGCGAAAACGGGTTTATTTGTTGCGTCTCTCGTGTATCGCACGCACGACATCCCGGCGAACCTGTGCACCTGACACCTTTCCCGTATTCTCGCTTTGCCGTTTTGTGTTCCACTGCAGGTACTAGACAAGAGGATACTTCGTCCCACCGCGTTCGAGAGGCCAGCGCTGTACCTCCAGTTGCTAGAGCGGCAACCCAGTCCGGGGAAAGGGGGGCGGGTATGCTACTCTAAGGGGACCATATCTTTGGTGGGATCGGGGAGACGGAGCGGGGGGTACACTGGTCCTTCGTCCATACGAGGCGCGGCTAAAGTTTCGACAGCTGCCAGGGGGATGGCGGGAACGGGTGGTGCAATGATAATTTGATACGAGCTAAGAGTAACGCTGTTTTTTAAGCAGTTATTTACCCTACATAGATAAGGTGTTTTCACGGACTCCCTTCAGGATGGTTGCACGCCTCTTGTGCCGGCATCGTACACTTATCCAGTCTCGCTTCCGTTTTGGCCGGGCGGCGGTTGCGCGCTGGGGAGGAAATTAATGTTGAGACTCTCTGGTTTATGCGTTTAAGCACGCAAATCGATCCGCGCGAACGAGTGCATTGCTTTCCGTCACGATGGACGGAAGGGTGCCGTCCTTAGGGACTCCTGTTCGGTTGTTCCAACAGTTCAGCGGCCGGTTTGGCATCAAGAACACGCGTGTTCATTTTTTGAACAGCTGCATGTTGGGGTACCTGCGCGTCTGCTCAAAATGCTGATTCCCCCTGAACGTTCACTCAGCGGTCTCGTTGCTAGATGTGCAAAAAGAAAATGAAGCCGTTCATCCCGTAGACTGCCGAGAAGGCTCATCCAGCACCCAGCACTTCATGAATCAAAATGTTGGTTACGAACGGTATGCTGAGGAACTACAGCGGGCTTCAGAAGTCAGGCTGTAGGGCTACCCCGGCCTGTTGTTCTTGTCGCGAATCTGACCCGAAGGACCCCGACGTGACGGTTCGGGTTTGACGATAGGACAGATGCACCTGTCCCACTCTGGTTCCCAACTTACCAGCCGAATTTGGCGCACAAGTGTTGGAGTCATGCGGATTCGGCGAGACGGTTAGCCTTGTCTTTCGGAGTCGACCTTTGCGAGAAGCGATAGTTTGCCTCTCTCGCGCTTCTAAGAAGGGGTTCTGTGGCCAGTTGTCTTCTTTTGGAAGGAAAAAAGAAAAAGACAGCCCAAATAAGTAACCGTAGTAAGAAAACCCCGAGAGAGCGCGAAAAGTTACTCAAATCTTGAGGCTTTCGCTGCCACCCTACATCGAGCAGTTCGCGCACAATTGCGAACGACATTTCCCCTCCGACGCTGAGAGCGCTCTTGGCGAGGGGGAGGGACAGTAATATCTCTGTTCCCGTCGGCGACGTCCTGCGCTGCCTGTGAAGCCGTGGAGGCGTCACCAAATCCAAATAGTTCCTGGCATGATCCTGGGTTTGGTTTGATCATGGTCCCTTCATTCCGCCGCACGTAACCAAATGTAGCCAGACGCCAGACCCCCAGACCCGGGCTGTTCGAACGTGCGAACCTGTTACAATGTGTGATCCTGTTTTCTGATTGGCTCTCGGCACGTCATGAGACACACCGCGCAACACGCTGTGAACAATCCCCCGGTGATCACACACGCACCTGCCCACCTCGGTCAAGCGGTGTACCCACGATGGCTCTCCGTTTGGGCAGCGCGGTCCTCGTCAGGGGCGGGTTACTTCAACGCTCCAACTTCCCAGCGGCAACGGGAGTCCGAATCAGGTGCGTAAAGTCGACCTCCGTTGTTGTATCTGAATACAGCAGGTGGGTCTATCTTCTGCGAGTGCATGTGTAGACTATGCATACATGTGTTAGAAACTCGCACCCAGGAGCAGACGACGAGTTGCACAGGGTGCACAAAAGTTCAGGCAATGCAGCTCTCCCGGTACGCAATGAACCACCGACTTCTACCTGCGAGAGTCCGCGCCCTCTTCGCCGTTCGCCTTGGTTTGTCTCCCTTGCTGCCATGTCTGTTTGAACACTCGCGGTAACAACCACAACGTGAATCACAGACTTGGGGGACATTCGCAATGTCAGGGCCTATTAATAACGTGTTTATGTACATGTTGCATACCGTGCGCCGCGATGTCCACATGCACCAGCGCCTACACCGCAGCAGTTAACTTTCTATCCCTCCTGTCTGCCAGACTCGGCAGCTACAGAGTTGCTTAGGTTTGCTGTTGCTTCAGGGGTAGCTGCCGGACGCGCGGGTCGTTCTTTTTTTCTTATCCCGCAAGTCGGTCTCTCCGTCCCTGCGCACGTCCCTTCTTTGCTGCCGTAGACTGGCTCTATTGAAACAGTGCAAAATCACCCCACCAAGATCATCCATCCATTTACCATTCAAACCGGCTGTTCTCACGTATGCAATGGTGTCGTGTGGTGTTCGTCCTTTCACTCGTTTGCCAAATGTCAGCCAACAGGAGTATACAGTCGTGCAGGCCAAAACGGAGTACATATCACACATTCCGACGGCGCGCAGGTTCAAAGGAATGTATTTTACAAATGAAATGGCACACCAGAACGGTCTTCGAACTCGTGACCAATCGAGCACCCTCCCCAAAGAGAATAACAAAAAAATCCTAGGGCGATGTGCTTGCTATGCAAGACTCCGCGGCAGGGCGTGTACACGAAACTATGCTCACCGCATAGTGTTGTTTGAACCCCCATCGCGCCAATAACCGCTGTTTAAGAGCAAGAATTTCCTACACCGACAAGGAATCACCGAAATTGGCAACACCAAGCACCGACGGCCCTCATTCAAGAAAGCAAAAGGCGCATCCCACTGCTGCTGTACTTCAAAGCATAGCAGCTGGTACAGACAGCGCCAGCAATGACAAGCCTGGAGTGGTGACGATACCTGTTCTCCTCTGTCTGCATGGTGTAGACCCACACAAGAAGTCGCAGTCTTCCCTCTCCGACGACATTGTTGCTGATGTATTTTTTTATTTCCTCTGGTCGTGGCAGACTGGCGTTTTCGACGGGGGCTAAAAACAAGGGAGGAGATGACGCCGCCGTACAAGAGGAAAACAAGGTGGGGGTCCAAGTACGACTGACCGGCAGACCACTTTCGGGTGGTACTTGTTTATTTGATGGAGGTTACGCAACCTCCTCATCACTGTTCTGCCGAGTTCTGATGTCGGATCGGTTGCTCAGTTACTCTTGAAGATTGTGCGCAACTATTAGGGCATTCGCGTGCGCGATCTGCCTGCATGATTACATCGAGCTCAACGTGTGCCCCCCCCCCGCCACTGGTCTGTTGACCTATTCCTTATACCGAGGAGGTAAAGTGTTGGGGAACCGAAGTTCTGTGCGTCTCCTGAAAACATGTGCTGGATGTGATTCCTATCGGAAACGTATTCGATCGTCGTTGATACGTCACATTACTCCCTATGTGCATCCTGATAGGTTAGCAGCACTAATGTTCACTGCTGTGATTAAATGTTCACGCCCTGTTGCTAGCCTTCATTTCGTGCGTGTTGCGCACGGCTCTTCATGTCTTTGTCTAGAATGGTACTACATGTGGGACGTTCCGAACAGGTACTAGCATGACTTTCTCTCCGTAAGTAATGGTACAAACTCCTACTCCCATGCTGTGCTTACTTCCCTGGCGTCAACCGACCTTCCGTTCGTCGCAGGCAAAGATCAATGCGGCTTGGAACTCCTCTGCGGAGGCGTACGTCAGGAATATTCAGGATGGCGCTTCCTCCGCTTCCCTCAAAGTTTCCTCGGGCATGAATGTCGGTTACAAGCTTGCGACGAGAATCGTCACGTCTCCGTACGATAAGGTATACATACGGTACCCGCAGAAGAATACGATGTGTCCTGGTGTCCTGCCATGCCCGCTGGTGGGTAGCTAACCTGACGAACCTGCCAGAGAGTGTTAATGTTATAGTTGTAGTTGTTGTTGTAGTTGTTGTTGTTGTAGTTGTTGTTGTTGTTGTTGTTGTTGTTGTTGTAGTTGTTGCTGCGCCGTTGTTGCTGTTGAAAGTATTTTTGGACACTGATGGGTTCCTGGTGTTACGTTGTTCACATCTCTGGTGATGTCACGGCACCCCACAGGTGCAGCCGAAGGAGCCCGAAAAACAAGTGGTTCTCGATGTCGCCTCGGCCGGGGGAGAGCCGGCGATCACCATCGCAAAGGCAAGAGAGGGAATATACCGCAAGGTTGAACCGCGCAAGCGCCCGAGATGAGACGCCAGAACACTACAATACCTGGAGCGTACACTCCCTGGGGCTCGGGTTTACACTATTTTTTTTGCTGGATCACCCCCGGGGATCGCCGGCGTTCTCCCCGTTTTATTTTGCAGTTTTTGGTATGGATACGGCGTACGGCAATAGTGTTCACCTCGATGGGTTCGTCATGGATGATTCGTCAGGAATATCGATATCATTCCCGATAGCCTGTGGTTCCGATTCCGAGCGCGTGTCGTGGTGGTGTTGTACGGCATCTATCTGTGCCTGTTGTTTCTCACCGTTTCGTTCTGCTTGATGATTCATGGCGCTGCAACCCACCCCACTCCCCACGAAAATGGTACCCAGGCGATGCCTGGCGCTACGATCCACGCCACCGATTTCGCCCCAGTGATGATTGACCTCATCAGGTGATGACAACGTCGTGGCATCGACTCGCGCCGGCAGTGTGTAGGGGGACGGCAGGGGAGGGGCGTGTAGTCCACGCAATTTTCTTCGCGCGCAGATGAAGAATCGGGGCAGGTGTCGATTTCGCCTGCAGATTGGCTCAACGATCGCGGGCAGTCCTTAGTGTTTGTCGTGGTAGTTGATGGAGAAGACCGTGCCGCGCAAGCTATGAGGGGAAAAGGAGAATCCGCCGACGTGTTTATTTTCTCTTTTTCGAAGAGCGTACGCCCCCCCGCTCATGCCTTGGAATGTTCCGTCGTCCCGCCCCTTGCAAGCACACTGTGTGGGACAAACGCTTCTGTGGTCTATGCAGTTCGGGTTGCAGAGGTGGTGTTACGTGTCGGGGTTCATCGACGAGAGCGATCATTCCTCGACTTTTCGCGCCTGGTGTCACAACAGTTTCTCGTTGACCGAAGCGCCACCGATCAGCATCCGCATGTTGTATTGGTGGAAGAAGTCATACATTATTTGACGACGAAACCGCCCTTCTCTCGCGGGCACCCAAAGGAAGAGAGCCGTGGAAGAAGGAGTCTCGAATGTAGTGGCGAGCGTGGCAGACGGGGAAGCATTGACCGGATTCGGGGACGAGACGGTGGACGCGGTGACCTGCACGTGGGGTCTTCTCTTCATGCCGAACTGGCAGCGTGCTATTCAGGTACGCAGTCGAGCTGGGCTGCTGTACAGTGTTGTAGGAACCTGCACGTACATATATGAATTTTCGGTGGCCTGGGGTTTGCGGCTCTTGGGTCTCGGGGGGTTTTCTTATGTGCAAGCGACGGACTGGATGACCCCATCCACTATCAAACGTGTCGGCAAGGGCAGATGGATTGGTGATATTCGTTTGATATTGCTGCTCTGTCCTCACTGTCCTATTCTGTGATACGACTAAAATCCGCACCACGCTTGTGTTTTGGAGTGTTGCGTATGATTCATGTAGAGAAACAAGCCTCGCAATCCAACGCGCGCTCAATGTCTCTACTGGTTGTAACTGCTATCCCTTGCCTTTATCCACACCCAACACAACAACGGGTACCAGTCTGCTGGGCAAGCGATGCTCGCACTGAATTAGACACCGCAGGAGGCATGACACGTAGCGGTAGTTGCGTCCTCTTGCTGGGAGCACCGTGAATCAGGACACTGGACCGTTGTCGTCGAATGAATCTCCTCCGCGCCTCCCATGCCGAGGGATCCCGTGGCACTAGAATACGTGTTTTCTCTTTCTTTTTTCGCTGTACGATTGATGAATTCTCATTGGAAAGCGGGTTTGACGCGGATTGTGCAAGATAGAGAAACACACGAGCACACATACACACCTCACGCTCGAAACCTCTTGTCGCGTCCTCTCCGGATGTTTCGTGGTGTCATACCGCCGTCGGGTGATGTCTGTCGGTCATACCAGGAGTTTTCTCGCGTCCTTAAGAGGGACGGCGTGGTGGCGGTGACGCTGTGGGAGAGGCAGGAAGGCTCGGTATTCCAGCGCATACGTAACGTGGTGGAGACCCTCGTTCCCGGTAAGGGCGGGTGGTTTCTTCCGTTCAACTACCGTAGGGGCAGAGTCGAGTCCTCTGCTATTGGTTGTGAATGATTCTTGACTTTGGCGTTGGTACAAGTGTACGTTCTGTAGGTGCAGGTGCTATTTAGTACCTCCCTCCGAGTTTCGAAAGGGGTGTCCAATAGAGGCGGTCTTGGTGCTTCCTTGCTGGATGCATCCACAACCCGAAAGGTGATCGAATGCCTGTGCACAAACGGTTGAGCACGGAGGTGTACGGCTCCGAGGTGATTTTGCGCCCCTTCCGGTTTGGCCGAAGGTGTGTCCTCATCCCTGGCGGGCGCGCGTGTGTCACGCTTGTTCGCTCCTGATTCACAGGGTTCCAATTGCTGATCGACGCTGAAGCGCTGGGCGAGGACGGGGGATCAGCGGTAGTCGAGGAGATGAAGGCTAGTTGGACCTCGCCTCGCAGTAAATAGTCCGTAGAATGTACCACTAAGTTATTGCTGGGATTGTCTTGACCCACTGCACTGTGAATAGCTCCATATATATCGCCTTTTCCGCTCGATACGAAGGCTACCTTTGGTACTCAGACCGCTTGCGACCTATGACACTCACCGGCATGAATCAAGCACCTATTCGTGAAAAGAAAACGCAACATTGAGTACGGAGAGCTGCACCGAACCAGGAATCCAGAGAATGAGGGAGCCAAAGTATTATCGTCGGGGTGGACACATGGTTCGTGTGTTTTGCGCGTGACCCTCGTTCGCAATCTGTGGACGCCTCACGCTAAGGCACCCCAACCCCCGGGCAGGACTTATTTTCCGGGCATCGTACTTGTGGCATCTCTGCATGCAGAGTCAACCTTGACCGAACAGGACCGTTTCATCTGCGCGAGCTACTACCCTTTGTGTGATTTTTGGTCTTGGCGCTGCGGCAAGCTGAGCGCACCTGTAGCCAACACGATCCTGTGCTCCGGCTAACCTGCTCGTTTACATTGTTGTCGGATGACCGGGCTTCGTGCCCTCAAGCTGTCGGCTTGTCGACATCCTTAAGTGTTACCAAGCTACAATACGTTGAAGGTGTGCTTCATTTCCCCCCCGGGCCATGGAAGATGTGCACGCCGACAGCCACCGGAGCAATCAAGCCATGGTTAACCCTTTCGATTGGCTCTTCCTTCAGGCTGCCGGGCTCTGCGACGTCTCGGCGTCCAAGTTTTCGGTGCCCGTGGTCCTCTCGGCCGACGCGCGGCCTCGGGACATCTGGGAGCACTACACCCAATCCTCGCCACTCGGGGCAAGTAGAAGCGCCGCTAGACGTATGCGTAGCAATCAAGGGGTCAGGCCAGACGCATGTGAACCCGCATATTTTGTAGTCTGTTGCCGAGTTTGTAACTTATTCGGCGCGTTCCGCCTGTCCCATCCCGCATCTGTTTGACATTGCAAGGGGGGGCACATGCCAAGCTCTCCCCCCCATACACTGATACGTAGGTCAACCCGCTCTTCCGCATAGGGTTTTTGGCGGTCCATGATAACATGTTTCGCCTTCAGCGGGCGTGGAGTTTTCTGACCTCCCATTTTTTTAACTTGCACTTACATTTTGGGTTGCATACGAATGATTCCCGTTTTTGAAATCAAGAGCACGGCAGCTTTTCTCGCGGAGCACCGGTTGCATGAGATACGTGTGCACCAGTGCCGTGACAGCCTGCTCGCCTATCACGGAGCTGTAGCAAGCAGCCCTTGTCGACGCTCGCTTGATGTCGCTTTCGCGCGTGGTCTTTTATCGGTCAGCAAACCATGTCGACCTTGGAGAAAAAAGGGCGGACCAACATTCGGCAAGAAGCCATGGACATTTTCGAAGACTCCATGAACAAGGAATGGGCCGAAGGACGAACGCCCCTCGGACTCCAGAACGAAGGCGACGACCTTGCTGGTGGAAGCTCTCCGACGGCATCTCGGCCGCCTCGCATTTACTACGTCCGAGCACTCGTCGTCGTGGGGCGCAAGGTTGGCGGCTGAACGGGCGGAGAACATGGAACGGCACGGTAGGTTACCGGAACGGTGCAGTACGTAGACCTTACGGGCTGTTTGCTACACTATCGGTTCCTGCTTCCACCTCCGGGAGAGAGGTGTGAAAGGATTGTCAGATGGTGCGTAGCACCAACGGGCAGTCTATTCGTTTTCCGGTCATTTTTTCGTGTTTGATGGCCGTTTCAGGGCATCGGTTTGGTACAAATCCGACGGAAAATAACCCGTGCGGGCAGACATGTGAATGCAAGATGGCTAAGACGCTTGGCCCTCGACAGCATAGTTTCGCGTGGCGGCAGTGCGGGATATGCGGGGACGGTATCGTTTGGGCGTTCACGCTTACGCACAACCCGGATGGTGTGGGTGCAACTACCCGTGCCCCAAATCCATCATGGCGTGGGGAACATCGTTCCGGGTGACTTGACCAAGCATCTGTTTTTTCACTTTGATTCCTCGAGTTCGTGCAATGTATGGTTTGGCGTGCCTCCACCGTAGAGAAGGGTGACTCCTTCCGACATTATCTTTCGTTTTCTAGACCAGCCTTACGTTTTCGGTTGCGAATGATACCTCACCGTTCTCTGAGGTCTGAGGAAACGACGCAGTTGGCTACTGTGAGTCTTCCCAATATTATCTCGGCGGGATGGGTGGCGTGGTTGCGTACGCGGTAACTGTAATCCGTAAGATAATACTTCCTCTGTATCACAAGTTAGGGTACCTAAATGCAATAGATTGTCTGGGTGCAACCGTGTTAGTGATGGTAGCATAGTCGGGTTTGCAAGAAAGATATAACAAAGAAGAAGCGATAGAAAAAAAACTAAAAATCTATTTCTGTACCTAATATTGGTCAAAATATACCCTATTTTGGCCTGTTTTGGGAATATTTTTGAGAAAATATTTTGGGATTTTTTTTGAGAATTCTCGGCAAAACTCTCAAAACCATCTAATATTAGTACCCTACCGGGGTGAGCAAGCGGCAGAGGGAGGGAACGTCAGAGAGGGTAGTAAAATGCGATCAGGAGGCTTTGAACAAGGCTTACGCCTGGGCGGCATCGAGTCCAAGTGATGATGAGGAAGAATAGTCGACTTTCTCTTTTTTTTCCCCGCCACCAACCAACCCTTCTTTTTGTCCCGCAAGTGTCTTGATTTTAGTGTAACCCCCAAGTGTCTTGGTTTTAGTGTGTGACCCCCAAGTGTCTTGGTTTTAGTGTGGTTCACTACTATACTGCTTTTAGTATAGGGGGCGCGACATGGATCGTTAAGTAGAGGGGGGGTTTGGATGAGGGCCCTACTGTTGCTTGCTTTACCCCGCAAGTGTCTTGGTTTTAGTGTGGTCCCCCCAAGTGTCTTGTTTTCAGTGTGGGGGCCACTATTATGCTGTTTTTTGTATGGGGGACGCGTCATGGAGGGTTGAGTAGAGGGGGGGCTAGGTTTAGGGTCAGGGATAATTCTTGGTATTTTTGCCTTGTTTTTGTCATTGCCCCGCCCCCCCCGCCCGGGCGGGGGGGGCAGAATACATGCAAAATACGGCCTTTGTCAGGCCGACTGGTTTTTTCTCGGGCGCTCGTGCACGCGGGGTGGCGCATGCATAAAAAAAGAAGATGATTCTTGCTAAAAAAACTCCAAAGATTTCAACAAAAAAATCGAAAAACAGATCGGACACGGTTAAGGGCCCGTACAAATTTAGGTACCCTAACTTATGATACAAAGGAACTATTGACTCTCAATAACAGTCGTGCTGTTTGGCGTTCGAAAGACATTCTGATGGACGCCAACGCTGTTCTACCACGCTGGTTGATCTCTTGCTTGAAATGCTGTCTTTTTCTAAGTTTCCGATTCCGACGGTCAGGGCGCATGTCTGCCCCCTCGATTCTATACCAATGGTGGTAGCATTGGACCCCCTCCTTCGACTGTGTCGGATGCTTCACCGGTAACACGCATTACAGAGTCTCCATATTTCCCCCCATGACGGAAACCATCCGCTCCAAGCCTTTGGATGCTTTGAAACGACGCTAGCACGGTCGACATCCGAATATTCAACTTATAACGTGGTGTCTCAATCCCGTCCTCGTCCCAGTCTCTCCTCATCGAGGAGCACCCAGTGCTCGTGCGGATCGGGTCCTCGCTGCCGAATCGTACAAGAGTCGTCTCAATCGCCGCCACGAAGAGAATACTAAATGAGAGTAGCCGAGAGAGGACGCATCCATGTTGCAGTCCCTGTGGGACCTCGAACCATCCCGAGAGTCCCTCGTCGTGCCATAAAATAGAAGTCGGTCACCTGGTATTCTAGTCGGCGCCCAGGTTGAAGTCCGACTCTGAGAGTGAAAACAACCTCAGTAGTTTGCGGTGGAAGACGATTGATTCTTGAAATTTTGTTCACGCGTTCGACTGCGGTTGACGAGGGAAAGCGACGGCGCAGCCCTCCTCGGAATGAAGTGTAAGGTGAGCGCCGCAGGAGGTGGGCCACCATTAATTGATTGTTCAATGAAACCAATGTGTCAGCTGTGTGATATCTTCCTGTGTGATACCAGATGACACGTCAAACATATTCACCAATCTGTGGGGAGACTGGCGCCGATCAACATGTTATGCATTCGACAGAATCCAAATACGTTTGGGCTTCGGCGAATTTCCTATGGAGATCGATATGGGTTTGTGAGTACCCCTACGTCATACCGTGCGGGCTCTATGGACTTTCATGGACCTCCACACTGCACCGACGATGGGTATTCGCGCCATAGAATAGAGGCCAGTCTCCCCGGCGGTGGTTAACCTAGGCAAGCAACCTTCTTACCTCTGGAGTACCACTTGCGGTGGAAACGATTCATTCATGAGTGAAATTGCGTGGTCAATCATGGCCGTCGAGGGAAAGGGATGGCTGAACTCTTCTTCCCCGATCATAACTAAGGCAAGAACCCAAGGGGGGGGGGGGNGGGGGGGGGGGGGGGGGGGGGGGGGGGGGGGGGGGGGGGGGGGGGGGGGGGGGGGGGGGGGGGGGGGGGGGGGTACTCTTATGTTTTGCATGCCTTAGCGGTTAGACCATTGGCCACGCGTCCTCGAGAGGAAGGAACATTGTTCCCACAGGAATCAGGGTTTTCGCACGATTGAGAGCGAAGTTTCCGATTGAGAGCGAGAACCAAAAAAAATCGAAATTCGGGTCCAGACGCCTCCCGTCATTTCTCGGGAAGCAGGGGACGGGCTATTCCAAAAAGCGGCGCAAATTGAAGCTCTCTTCAGCAGCTTCGCGTGCATATGCGTGTCACTGCGATCGGCTGCAGCAGCGAGGAGCTACGCACGTTGCTAGATTTCCCCAGATCGGCTATTCCTGCCCGAAACTGTTTCAGGGCGCCGTCGCCTGGCGCGGTAGGCCCTCCCGTATAGCTTCTGCTCCGCGGTGTAGCTCCACAACGCGAGACACCCGCAGGATGACCCGGGTATCGGCTTGTAGCTATAGGCAAGCCCTTCAATTCAAGCCGCACAGCAAGCTCTACCTCTCAGCAGTAGACAAGCTACATCATATCGCAAGATCTCGCTCTCAATCAGATACTTCGCTCTCAATCGTGCGAATATGTTGTAAGGACCGATCACCGATGACCAATCGTTCCTTTCTACTTTGCCAAAGGTTGGCTCAAAATGTCTTCCCTAGTCTGTCTATCCCNCGCACAGCAAGCTCTACCTCTCAGCAGTAGACAAGCTACATCATATCGCAAGATCTCGCTCTCAATCAGATACTTCGCTCTCAATCGTGCGAATATGTTGTAAGGACCGATCACCGATGACCAATCGTTCCTTTCTACTTTGCCAAAGGTTGGCTCAAAATGTCTTCCCTAGTCTGTCTATCCCAACGATATCCCTTCCTGCCTTTTCAACCCACCTCCTATGCCCCAGTACAGCTACCGTCCTTTCCTCTCTATTCCATGCCTCAAACATCTCCCTGTACGTCCCATCTATTTTTCCCAGCTCAGTCACGTACACTTCCCTCTCCTTCTTGTACAACGGACATTCCGCGACTACATGAACACGGTCTTCGCATTCGGAGCCGCAATCACGTTTGAACTCGTCGTCTTCGTCGTCTATCGTCCTATGTCTTCGTCGAAGTTCTCGAAGGCCTAGACTATGTCCCCGGTCCTGAATTTGACCTCAAGCCTTGTTCCTGCATCCGTTGGTCCATGTAGGTAGTCCTTGAACCCTTTTCCTTCCTTCAACATCCCGTACTCTTCTAGACCCTCCTTATCCTTGGATTATTTCCTTAGATTCTGTTCTCTCTCGGCACAAGCAACAGATATCTTCTCCTTGAACCCCTGTAGACCCTCCGTTTCCAGCGTTTCATCTTCGTCGATGTCGAGCCCCTTCCATACGTCCTCTACAACCTTGACCCATTCCGTGGGTTGTCTACCCCTCTTTTTGTTTGCCCACTTCGCCTCCCATACAACTGTCGGCAACCTCTCCTGTCCCATCCCGCACATGCGATACTGCCATGTCAGCTTCCTCGCGTCTCTTCCCGACCGTAGGGATTGGATCCCCAATTCTGCCCTCACGGCTGCATTACTTGTGCGCCTGGAGCATCCTAGGATGGTTTTCGCTGCTTTCATCTGCGCCGCCTCGAGTTCTTTCACTACCTTCATATTTCCTTCTCATACTTCTCCGGCGTGTTCAATCGGCGGTACGATTACGCTCTTCGAAACCGTCAATTTGATGCGTGTATCGAGGTGCCAGTTTGCGAGTGCTCGTGCTTTGCCCTTTTCGGCTACCTTGGACATGTGTGTGCATTCCACGAGCAGTCTATTGCGATCTCTACTCCGAGGTATGTGTACTGGTCCACTTCTGCAATCTCCTCGATCCCCCACTTCCATCTATGTTCTACTGGTTCCTCCTTGTTCTCGTTGCATACCATGACGGCACTCTTCTGAACGTTGGC